AGCAAATACGCATTTATATCATTTAAACAAATCTTTGAATGTCTAATAAACCTCTAATTTCAAAAACCTTGCAAACTTAGTCGAATCTAGTTGAGATCTTGTGAAGTGTGCATGTGTATCCTGCATGATCGCGTGTTCTCTGTGTGACGGTAGATCCGTGAGAATTGAATGCGGACAGGAGGAGAGTTCAGCTTCACTGGAGACGCGCGATATGAAATATGAAAATATGATTAATGCACACAAACTTCCCAGAATACTGAGTGCCCTGTTGGTTACAGTGTTTACTTCCTTTTTAATTATATTTTTATTAAATATTTATTTATTTGTGAAAAATACTTTGTCATCTAAAGTATAAGTATGTTTATTTAACACATTTATTTTTTTAATCAATTTTCAAATGATTTCAAATTTCTTAAAAATTAATTAAAATAAAAAAAAATTATATCGGCCATCGGTCACCCTGCTTTCCAAATTATCGGCATCGGCTGTCAAAAAACCAATATCGGTCAACCACTAGTTAAAATCTAAGCTCAGGATCGATTCCAGAGAGAATCGCGATGCATCTCAATCGATCCACGAATCGATTCTGCATCGATTTATCCTAATATTCATAATATTCAGTGATTTTGTGAATGTTGTGATTTAACATACTTGGTTTAATTTGCCTTTTAAAGACCGTGTAGACCGTGTCATTAGACCATGGAAATCTGCTGTCCTGCAGAGTTTATATTTAACCCTAATCACACATGTCTGAACCAAATAAAGAAGGGTTTCAGTTTCATTAAAATCACAAAGACAAAAGCATTTTACTTCTTACCATATTAAACTTTTTTTGGCTTCAGTGGCTGTTGGTTTAAATGATGGTGCCTTATTAGGCCTAGCACTAATGCGACCGACAGCCTATATTAAGACATAGTGTAATGCACAGATCTAATATAATGTTACACATCTGATGTTTTTCCCCAAACTTTCAGTTAAGACATAACAGATTATGTTTGCGTTAATACTTAAAGCTGCAGTCCGTAACTTTTGGCTCTAGCGGTTAATAAACAGAACTGCATGCGTCTTGTGGAAGAACATTGTAGCCGGAGCTACTTTTCTCTGTTTATGTCTATGACGAATCAGGCAAGTACTGGGCTACTCCGCAGCGTTACCTAGCCGAACCAGTCTGAAATGGTCCGAATATAAACACTTATTATAGGTGTACTGTAGTGCTTCAGGACAAGCCAAAAACACGGTTTAGAAAATGGATTCATGGTTCGCTTATTATATAAATTGTCAATTTTGAACACAAAGTTACGGACTGCATCTTTAAATATATTTAGCCTACTGTAATTCTGTATATATGTGGGGATCGCGTGGCATCGCTGTCGTCTTTATGCGGTTGCTTCGGATGTCAGTCAGCACGAGAAGCGAGTGGAGAAATAGGTACTCCTCTCAGAAAGTATACAAATAAAGATACTCTTAGATGTTTAATTACTATTTGGAGCATTGGGGTCACTAGACGAGTGCTTAATGAACTCATTTTGTGAAAACTTTAAATTCAATATTTTTTTTTTCACTTTTTTAATTTCTTCTTTTTTTTTTTTTTTTGGCCTGTAGCTCAAAATTAGCCTGTGTGCATTCAGACTCATTTTTCCGGCACGGGTTACATATACAATATCTAAATTATAGTTTTTAGTACAGGAGCCAAATATTTGTCTATAAAAAAAAAAAAAATTTATTCAAGTTGATTTGATTCAAAGGAGGCTTTACAGATGACATGTAGAACAAAATATATATATGACTTATGTACTGTGTGTGTGTATATATATATATATATATATATATATATATATATATATATACACACACACACACACACATATGTATGTGTGACCCTGGACCACAAAACCAGTCATAAGAGTCAAATTTTCGAAATTGAGATTTATAAAAGCTGAATAAATAAGCTTTATAAATAAATATGGTTTTGTTGGCTATTGCTACAAATATACCCCAGCGACTTAAGACTGGTTTTGTGCTCCAGGGTCACATATATAAATACATAAGAAATTTTTTTTTTCTATTTTTTTTGTTAGGAAAAAATGTAGGTTTTGTATATTTTTACCAATTTTGAGCAATTGACTTCATGAGTTACAGTTTTTAAACCATAAGTTTGCATTGTTTTTTGAGCAATTATGAGTTAAAAGCTCAGAGGAACTTAAGCAACTGATTTTTAAATTGAGTTTGTTGCTGGTGATTCTCAGATTACACATTATTATGAATTACATAATGATGTTCAAACAATTTATTATAAATATTGAAAAGTTTTGCTTCAGTGGTTATTCTGGAGTTCATGTACAACCTCAGCATTTCTTGATTTAATAAAAAGGCGTAAATGTAGTAATAATACAGTAACAATCAAAACTGACTTTTTTGTTTCCCATTCACTTACTAAAGAAGTTATTGATCATATGCAATTTGTTTTTAGTTGAAAAATATGTAAGTAATGACTTCAGGTGACCAGGTCTGAACAGTCCCCAGAATGCAAGAATATTATGCAAATTTTGAATGCATAATGAGGGTTGAATAATTTCAGAGATTGTTGCAGAAGAGCAATCACCTTACATGTGTGTGCAACATTACTTGTAACAGATTAATGTGATCTTCTCGCCACATCCAAACATGCCCATTATTAATATTCAGTTGTGTTTCTCTCTCTCTCTCAGCTGCTCAGACTATGGGTCCACGACCCAGCACTGCAGCGGCTGCAGCTTCCGCTCCTCCAGTGCGCGGCGTACCGCAGTACAAATACACCCCCAGTGTCCGCAGCCCCCAGCAGCACATGAACACACAGCCTCAGGTGACCATGCAGCAGGTAAGACTGCACTCCACCTTTATCCCATCACGCCTGAAAGATGTGTTTTTGAGTTTACTGTATTCTGTGTTGGGGAGTAACTAGTTACATGTAACGGAATTACGTAATTTACTTTTTAATTTTAACAGTAAACCTCTGTTGTGCAGCACTTTGTTTGCCAAAAAATAAAAGGGTTTAATTTTCATTATAAATTAAATTAATGTTTTATGCCTTCATCTGATTACCAGAAAATGTAAGAACATTTTATAGGGCCCTACTATTGTTTAAAAAGGACCCTATACAAAAAAAAAAAGAATAGGTTTAAAATACAGGCATGTGGTTCTTAATTTCTTTTTATTAATTCACTATTTGTTAACTGATGTTTACTGTAAATTTTTTAGAAATATCAATAGCATTTGTATTAAAACTATATTCACTGAATGTAATAAAAAATAATAATCGAGAATCGAATCGAATCAAGAGTTTGTGAATTGAAATCGAATCGAATCGAATCGGGATATCTGAATCAATACCCAGCCCTATAATTAACTACAAGTACTTACTATATGGTTAGGTTTAGGGTTACTTGCATGTAATTATGCATAAGTTATTGTTATTATAATAGTAAGTACATCTAACGTGTAACAAGGACACCTTAAAATAAAGCACTACCAAAAATACACGTAACTGTAATCTGTTACAGTTACTATGAAAAAATGTGTAATTAAACTAGTTACTTATGAAAATGTTAGTGATTACAAAGGGGGTTACATCGGAATATTTTTTTTACACACATACAGATTTGATTGATTTCTTTCGCACATTGCATTAACTGCTCTAAAATATGAGACACCAATGTTTAGGACACAGAATTGGACATGTTTATTCGATAACTGTTTTATTTCCTATTTGGGTTTATGTGCATGCTTTATTTTTTTTTTAAGGCCATTGCACACTGAGTTCGAAAATTTCGCACGCTGTAAAATAAATACGACCTCACGCTGTGTCAATCACGTTTACACACTGCCTGCAAAACTTTCGTCCGTCATAAAAAAAATTGAATCCGGTTTGATTTTCTGCATCCGCAGCAAGCATTTTGAGAGGTGTTTTGACAATTCAGAACCACCGTACAAGCGAACGCCAAAATCCAGAATGGTGATTGTCAAGTTCATCCACTTCGTCTCGCAGCACAAAGCACTGTAAAGATCCTTGCACACTGAGTTCACTGAAATTAATGGTATTTTTAATATGTGGCTCTAGTATTGCTAGCAAAGCATCAAACTGAGCCACTGACATCCTGAAGTAAGCTTTGAATCGCTGTGATAATCCCTCTTCTCCTTAATAAGGAGGGGGAACTCTCCTTCCTCTCTGTATCTCAGGATTGGATGGACCCAATATTTCCTTTCTTTTTCTCTTTTTAAGAAGCTAGAGGACAACAAAATCATCCTCACTGCTTGAAGACTACGTTTAGTACCGTTTTGCACATTTTTTCCGCAACGGATTAATTAATACGCATTGGACTCAGTGTGCAAGGTTTCTGTGTGTGACGAATTTTTAGGATAACGAATACGAAAAAGCTAGTGCTGTCAAACGATTAATCGCATCCAATATAAAGGTTTTTGTTTACATAATATATGTATGTGTACTGTGTATCTTTATTATGTATATATAAATACACATACATACAGTATATATTTTGAAAATATTTACATGTGTATATACATTTATATATTTATATTATATTTTATATATATATAAATGATTAATATATAAACATATTTTTCTTAAATATATACATGCATGTGTGTGTATTTGTATATACATAATAAATATACACATTGTGTACACGCATACTATGTAAACAAAAACTTTATTATGGATGCGATTAATTGTTTGACAGCACTAGAAAAAACACTTACGAAAATTTCGGACTCCGTGTGCAATGACCTTTACTGTTAGATGCCAGTGTTTCCTATCATAGCTATGCAAAGATTTGTTTTTAAAAACAGTATAATAGCTATTAAACCATATCTTACGATTTTAAATCTGTATTTAACCTTAAAAGGAAAAGAAAAAGGAAAAAGCAGTGCTAAAGTCTGATTTTGTGGTGACTGTGCTTTAAAATTACATTTTTATAGTCTTAAATCAAGTAAAAAATAATTTTGAAAGTCTGAGCACTACTGCAAGGTTAACCCTGCCTGATTTTAAATGTTTCAAAATGATTAACAATTTGTTAGAAATGTAGAAAAGTAATCAAAAAGTAATCAAATGTAATCAGTTACATTACACTACTTGTTACATTTTGAATAGGGTAATTTGTAATCTTATTTTAAATGACATTTCCAAAGGAACCTTCCCAACACTAACTGTGCTCGTTTACTCTGTTTATAGCCTGCTGTGCACGTGCAAGGACAGGAACCACTCACAGCCTCCATGCTCGCCGCTGCACCGCCACAGGAACAGAAGCAGATGCTGGGTAAAGAGTGCTGCTTTTCACTGCATGCTCCTCCCACCACCTGACGAGATGAGGCTAATGTTTCATTTTCCTCTTCACAGGTGAGCGTCTCTTCCCACTTATCCAGAATATGCATCCCAGCCTGGCTGGCAAGATCACCGGTATGCTGCTGGAAATCGACAACTCGGAGCTCCTCCACATGCTGGAGTCTCCAGAGTCTCTGCGCTCCAAGGTTGGACTGATCGGTTGTTTTTGTGAGCTCTACGGAATGAAGCATTGGAAGAGGTTTTGTCGACGTGTTTTGATGTTTTGTCGACTGTCTGACAGGTCGATGAGGCGGTGGCCGTACTCCAGGCTCACCAGGCTAAAGAAGCCGCTCAGAAGACCGTGACCAACTCTACTGGCGTGCCAAGCGTCTAAGCCAAGGTAACGTGTTCCTTTATGTGATTTTCTCTGCTCGCGTCAAATGTTTATTGTGTTGGGAACTGCGAGGTCACGATGTCTGTGTTCTACAGGGGGACACGACCTTGAATCTTCACCGAGAGGAAAAAGTAAACATTGAAAAAAACAGAAAACGATATTTAAAAAAGAAGAAAGAGCCAGGTCTAGAGACAAGCATTCTAGGCCTAGTTAAGGTATTAAAAAAAATAAAAAAAAGGAACAAAAAAAGGAAAAACAGACAAAAATAATGTTGAGGGTTTAAAAAAAATCCACAGTATAGGGAATAAACAGCCGTAAAGCATTCCTGCCTTGTTTTATTGCTTTTAAAGCCTGGCTATGTCATGTTCTCAGTAGGAGAACTGACTGAACCAGCAATGTGAAGTTATCTTAAATTCAAAATATGCTTGCTCAAATAAAGTTCATTAAAAATGAGTGAGTGTCTTTTTCAGATCTCTTTCAGGGGGATTTGGGATGCTAATGGTGTTGTGTTTTAAGTTCATGTCCTTAGACTAGATTCAGTCTCGTAACACTGCACTTTTACAGGCTGTGTGTGATTATTGAGAGGAACAAGGGTTAGGAATGTTGGAATGAAAGAGGAGGATGATGAGTGCCAGAAAGGGAGTGTAACTGCACAAAAAAGGAGAACAAAAACGGCATGGCTGACAAGTAAACGAATGTGAGCAAAGCTTCTTTTTTTTATTGGGATGTTTACAGAGAAATGGGATGTTGGGATCATTTTAATAAGTGAAACCCTTTTGTTCTACAGTTCTGTTGTAAAGAATAAAGGCAGGACGTGAAATTGTGATGGCACAGCAGGACAATCCTGGTAAAACTTATTTGCTAACTATCATTTTTTTCCCCAGTCATTGGGAGCCCTTTTGAAGTTGTGGAGTGCTATGGTTTTCCAATAAGTAGTGTAACAGAAGCAATGTAATTCCTCGGCTGTAAAGCCCCTGTTGAGCTCGTGTCTGCTCTGAGGTACCTTACTGTTGAATTTATTTTTAGACATTTTCATTTCAAAGAAAGTGCACGCTGTTTCTAATTTCTCTCAAGTTACTGTATGCCTGAACATTAATTTCAAAAGTAGGTCACTGGGATGCTTTTTCAATCTGACGAGTTGTTTACATAGTTTAGAAGTGTAGGTAATCATCAGGTTGCTTAGCAAGGACATGGATATACTACAACAGTGCCTTCACCTTATATGGGTGATCTTTCAAAGAATACAGCTTCACTGTGCTGGAGAAACATTCCTTAAGAATTCCAGTTTTAAATGATGTAGTGTCACTTTAGTTTGTCTTGAGTTTCACTTTTATATGTAATAACTTTTAATATTTAAATTTTGGGTTTAATTTCAAATTTTTTGGGTTTGTCTCCTGCACACTTAACTCTTAAACATTTGTAATAATTTTTAAAAGCTGGAAAAATCTGTGGTTCTCAGCCTATTTTACTCGAAAGCCCCCCATATTTCTTATTTCTGCTTCAAATATTTTCAAAGCTGCTCATTTTCAAATTGTTTTGAAAAGTCTCTGTACATTAGATTAATTTACCACCGTTTTTTTTTTTAAGTTTAAAGAACGCTGTTTTCAATTAAACAGTTGATAAATATATACTGTATTATTCAGTGCTGAAATTAACATTAAGATTAATAAATGTTTTAAAAGTATTTTTCATTTTTAGGTAATGTTGTCTAATGTAGTTAACTAATGTCAACCTATGGAACCCTATTGAAAATTGTTGTTAAAATTATAAAACAGGATCAATATGTTCTCCGGTCTCATGTGAGTGGCACATTTACTCAACACTCAACCTCAGACTCTTAAAGGACAAGTTGGGCAAGCTTTGATGCTTTATCAGGATTCACTTTGTTTGATGTGACCTGTTTCAAAATGAGCAAGTGTTGAAACCTCTGCATTCAGTTCTTCAGTGTGTCGAGAGTGTTATGTTAACACTTTCTAGTGTACACTGGTATTCAGAGCTCGCGTGTCATGCTTCCTCTTTCAAAGACAGGGTCTTCACATGTCTGTCTCACACTAAGTCATACCCACATCAGTTTTGTCTGATTGTTTGGATTGTCCAAATGACATCATTTTTATACAAAATTCCACTTAAAATGCAAAATCACTAAAGCTTTCTATATTCAAGATGATAACTGGACACATCTTACTGAACTAAACAAAGCAGCCTATTACTATTTGAAACGTTAGCTGTTGTGTAATGTTTTACATACTATTTCTATAAAATAGGAGGTCGACAGTGTATACTATGCAGTATGCAGTACACTAGTTCTCCACTGGGAGGATAGCTGATGTCTCTGTTGACTTATTGATGTGAGTAACAAACACTGAGTCAGTCAGTCAGTCTCCTCTGCTAAAGAGTTTCTCCCAGCTGAGACATTTAATGGCCTGTCTGTCATTGATCTCAGGGGCTCTTCTCTTTGCATAACTTGTTGTGTCAGGATACATCGATGTGGGCTGCGGTCCTCACAGGTGTATGAGCGATGACAAATACTGAGTTACAGCATGAGTTTACAAAACTCAGTGCTGGTGTTTAGTAGTCTAGGCTGTGAAATTACAGGGTTTGGATGGATTGATTGCTGAAACAGCTCGAGATTGTTCTGTGGTGCTTTATCTTCAGCAGGAGTGCTTTGAGTTAAAATAATAATAATAATAATTTACTGACCCTCAGGTGGTTGTTCCAAAGCTGTATGACTTTCTTCTGCGGAACATAAAATAAGATATTTTGAGAAATGTCTCTGTGTTTTCTGTCCATCCAATGGAAGTCAATGAATACCAAAACTCTGTTCCACAGAGAAAAAAAGTAGGTCATACTCGTTTGGAACGATGAGGAAATGATGACCATATGTTCATTTTTTGGGGTGAACTATCTCTTTATGATCAGTAGTTCCAGTCTTTGTGGGAAAAGTAATAATCAATTTTCCACTTAAATATATTGTTCCTGGCACATAGCGATAATATTTTCTAGAGAGGACAGTTGTTGCTGATATTCAACCCTGTTAGTCTTAATCAGTGCTGGCTAGTAACTGATTGCATAATCTGGATTACATAGTCGGATTATGATCAATAACTCTTTTTTTACATTAATGAATCAAAATAAGTTTAGCAATTTCATCTTTTTTATATTATACATGGGAGTATCCTTGCTGTCTATGCAGGGTCAGAAA